CCCCTTCGCGGGGGGGGGGGACCCCACCCCCGGGCCGGTGGGGGGGGGGGGGTTTGGCGAAACGCCCTGGAAAGCCGCAGCCGCTCCAGCCCAGTCCCAGCGGCAGTTGCCCTTGCCACCCTGCACTCTGAAACCTCTGCCACCCTGCCCTCTGCCATCCTAGTTGACCTTCACTGTCTTCTTGCTCCTGACAAGGTGTGCCTGGCCTGCAGGAAAAAAAAGAAGTAAAAACCAGCCCCAGAGCGGCAGCGCACCAAAAAGCCCCTTTGCTGCGCACTCCTGGGCTGGGCTGGGGTTGGGCTTTGCACTGTGAAAAAAAAGTAAAAAGCAGGGCTCATTATGCTTTCTGAACTGGCATTTATCTCCAACATCACAAAAGCTGCAGCAGGTGTTTCACCTTGCATATCTGCTATATGCCAAATCCAAGATTGAACTCTGTTGGAGAATATATTTCTAGGTTAATCTCTCATCTGGAAAAACAAGTTAGTTTGTTTAATTCTTGGTCTGTACTGTACTTTTTTTTTAAACGCATATCTAGCTCCCTGAAGTGTATGTGTGGGTTTTGTCCCTGTTAGGATCATTTGACCAATAGGGTAACTCATGGTTCTGTGCTCCAGAACAGAGCAATTTGTACCACTAGTAAACACAGGTTTGCTGCAGGATGTCTGCTTTTGCATCCCTACCTGTCACTGATGGAAGGAAATAATTTCTTATTCCTGTATTTGTTTGTAACTTCCATGGAGCCCATAGGCACTCTTCTAAATAAAAATAATAATAGAGGCCAGTGCTTTGCTTTGCCTTCATTGATGTGGGACAGCGAGCCTGGCAGATTTCAAGGGATATGTCCACTGACACCACATTACTGTTCGCTAATATTAATGCATAAAACTTGCTTAGTCTCTCTATTATATAGCTGGGCCTTCCAAACCTTCTGGAAAAATAACATTATGTATTGGTACTGTGATCGTATTACTAAAACCATTTGCTATAGTATTTGATTTAGATTGTGTTGGTGTGCCTCACTTGCAGATGGCTAAAGTTTGAGGAAGATGTGGAAGATGGAGGAGAACGATGGAGTAAGCCATACGTGGCTACTCTTTCACTGCATAGTCTTTTTGAGCTGAGGAGCTGCATCATCAATGGGAGTGTCCTTCTGGATATGGCTGTAAACTGCACTGAAGACATTGCGGGTGCTGGTTTTTGATAGTTTATGGGAGTAAAGGACAAGGAATCTGGGAGGGTGTCCTCTATGCCTTCTTCTCATGTATATGGAGGACATCCTCTCTGGGTATAACCTGCCCAGGTGCAGGACTGGGATTGGATAGAAATTTTCCCAAAATCTGGCAATCGTGTTTCAGGGCAGAATAATACAGCACTCTTCCTTAATTTGGTACCCTCCAGATGTTTTAGGGATATGATATTGAGAATATCAAGCCTTGGACATGATGATTAGGAATTCTGGGAGTTATAATTCCAACAAATCTGGAGGACAACAGCTTAAGGGAAGGCTGTATTTAATTTAAAGATCAAGCTGGTTTGCCCAGTTTGGAGATTCATTACATTTAGAGAACATTAATCCTCCATTAGACATGGGGAGTGGGGACGTTCCATTTTGGAGACAGGATGCCAAAATAGCATGAATGGTTTGGGGAAAGAGTTTTTATTGTGCCTGGTGTTTTTTCTTTAACTATTTTAAAAATGTCAGATAAAAAAATTCTGTGGAAGGCAGAACAGATTTGGCTCCTTTTATGAATCTCCCTCCTTCCACCATTGCTCATGGAAAGGAGCATCACAGATAGTTATTCTGAGAATGAAACATGGCAGCTAAGAATTTTCCTCTGATTGTTGCTGGGGGTAATTGCTTTGTTTCTAAGTTAGATTTTTTTTTCCTCAGACAGAAATGGAGTACATATTTTTAGCACCCTTTACTCAAGCATGCTGCTGCCACTGTCTACCCAATCCCAAGGCATTCTTGTTCTTGAATATGATACTATAGAGCTTATAGAAGAATACAGGAAATGATCTGATATTGCAAATAGACTTGTGTAAAAGTCTTTATATTATACATTTTAGAAATCATTTTGGGAAGTAATGACTGGTCAGCAATATATAAACAATTTTCTTAGCTATTTTATTTGGCATTTGCAAAGAAAACATTAGGAAACATTTCATAATAATCTTTTTAATTTAAGGGGAAGAAAGCTTTGGAGAAACTGTGGAGCCTTGGGATTCTCTGAGCTTGGTTGTTTTCTTGCAAACATTTCGTTACCTGGCTAGGTAATATCAAGATGTTACCTAGCCAGGTAACAAAACGTTTGCAAGAAAACAACCAAGCTCAGAGAATCCCAAGGACTCCACAGTTCAACCCTG